AACATCTGTACAATATTTAACGAGTGAAATAAATAATGGCCAATAGGGAATGTCCATTTAAAGTTCAAGGACATCATTAGACTTAACATGATAATGATTGGTATATTCCTCTGCATCCCTAACATTTTCAATACATGAAAAGTGATAATCATGTGAATTTTGGACAGATAGCTAAGAGGAATTAGTTAAACAAGAGTGTATTCGTAAGAGACATGCTCTAGACTCAATGTTATTTGTATTCATATCTACCGGTTGATGATGCAATACAAGTTAGCTGAAAGCAGTGTCAATTTGTTGACCGATTTTGTTAAGATTCATCAATTTGATCAATCATATAACGTGATTGTCGAGTCATGACAATACTCTACGACATCATGAAGCCATTATGTTTAACTAGTTATAGTGTTGATTGAGGATTAGCCGGTGGAAAATAGGTATTGGTGTTTTATGTGCTTCTGAAATAGCAGAGGTTTGTAGCGTTAACGAATCCGAGCTGCCTGACTATATTACTGATTGCAATCCAAAAATATTTGTTAGCATAAAGTTAATTTTAATATTAGACTCAACTATTTTTGTTTTGAACGTTTTCGCGTCAAAGAATTACGTGATTGTTTAGTTCTTATATCACTGTAGTATGATAGTACTTAAATTTGGTGACTTTATTATCCAAACTATGTTCATTTTTATAGGCAATTAGTATGATAGATCAATTCATAATCTCAAATACGTATAGCAATAACGACTGTGATGGGTTTACTGAAAAATGTTGAAGACGACTCAAATGATTGGTAAATTGAAAAGGCATGGATATATAATGCAACGCATGTACATACCGGGTTAACATGCAGGTTAGTCTAGATAAATGCTTGGCTTTCAACGTAGAAACAATGTGAAATGAGATTAGGATTACAGAAACTTCATAGCTGAAGCTCACCGTAAGTTTCTGGAGTATTGTCCTCGTTGTTTGGCAATGAGACTCGAAAATTGGAAATTAGGCAGGCAATGGTCGTAAGAAAAGATATTACGGGATAGTTCATGAGATAAAACAGAGTGAAACGCTAATTGAAGAAACAATATAAAGAATTAGATGCAGAACACCATTCAGTCCTTGCTCACGTTGCTAGTCGATGTCTACTTACGTCATTTAAAAGCCACATTTACTAAAGCTTCATGTTTTAACAAGTTTATTTCGCCAAAGTATGTAAGTGCTATTAAAGCGTGTTAATGAACCATCGAATTTAATAATTATTATAGATGACCTGTTGTTAGTATCGATTCAGCTAGTAGGCTATGAGTACTAATCAACATTAGAATACGATAATACACGTGAGTATTACTAAGAGGAATAATAAAATAATGGGTTAACATAAGTAAAACTCCATTGAAAAAATTAGTGAAAATAAGGATAAACGATAGACTGCGTTTCATTAGTCGGGTTTACCAGTGTAGAATTATGGTCGAGTTCGTTATTAGTACTGCTCTAATAATAGACCTAATCCTAAAATTGTAGATTTTTCATGCAGTAACGGCCTAATCCATAAGATTCTACGTGGAAGGCACATCATTGTCTACACTGACTCGTCGTATTCTAACAATTATCAATATATGACGGAGAACACATTCAGGCTGGAGATAGGACAATATATTTAATACGAGTAAAAGCAAGTTGTACAAAGCGACTACGTCTGCAACGCTAAGCCATGCCACCCGAATGGATTCAATTGAATTTGTTCTTCACGTCTTCGTTGGACTTTTCTCCGCGTCAAATGTTGAATATCTATTTTCCTGGTTGTCCCGTGTTCGGCTTTGAAGATTGTGTGGTTAGGGCCCAATGCCACTACAAGTTCATTAGGAATGAAGTGCATATGTCTCTTTTGAAGAATCTTATTTCACTAGACAAATGGAATACTTAAGTAATTATCCATTCTGGTTATCCCATGACACGAAAAAACTCCTTAAAATGAAGCTGCTGTCATAACCTAGTAAATAATACTTTATTCGTTCAAAGTACTGAGACTCACTGACGTCGAGTACACTTATCTTGATACACTGAAGTCCAGTTTAAGTTATCTAAACTAGAGATTTCACTTTTTAAGTTAACTACTAATTACCTTTACATGCAATTTTGATAATGTCTAACGGACGTACCCAAGTTGTAAATTAGTAAACGAAGTATACTTAATTTTCCAGATGTCTAAAAATACAAAATATTATAATATAGACCTAGCTATTACTTTTAATTAAATGCGAACTCATAGCACTTTTAAACGCTCACGCGATCGAGTTGGTTTTGAGGTCAACAACTATGATGAAATTACTTCGTATTTAGAAGATAAGTGAAAAGATATTAGTATCACTTAGATCAACTATCAGAACATTGATAAATACCAGACAGTGTATAGTGCACCTTGATAAACTGATTAGTTCAAGATATCAATTGATACAGAAAACAAGCTAACGGATAGCACTGAATTCATAGTAGTTTTAAAGTCAAACCTTGAATATACTGCACAAAACTATATTCTACAATTTAAAGCAACACCTGGACAAAGCAAACAGACGAGAGAAAATTCAACTATGCAGAGAAAATACGCCTTACTTGAGTGAATACATATATGTAGCTTACGCAAAGTAATGTGGACAGGGTTTTGTGCATAACTAAGACTTAAAAAAGAAAAATACTCCTTCGTAAATAAAAGACAATAAAAGCATTCATTGCATGGCACATTTTAACTGTTCAAAATATGTACAGCTAAGACGAACTACATAAGACTGAATAAGTAATTAGACATATTGTTCAACACAGCCAATCGCTTTCTTCTTTGTTCAGAAGGAAGGTCATTTACTCACCGAAATATGTGAAGTTGCCTGTCGCACTAATAATCGTACTATTTACTGTAAAAACGGAGATGCTTTTAGCCAAATGATAGAATTTAGTACTGTGGGTAACTGTATATTTGAACAGAGAAAGAAACAAAGAAATGAGTAATTAACATTGATTCCACCTTTTCCAAAAGCCATGTATGAGAATAAAATCAATCGTTTTTAGAATGCATAAGCTTAAAAGTGAGGCAACGAAAATATGTACATACAAAAAAGAACGAATCATATATATTTTATATAAGCAAGGTTAGTAGTTTAATTAGAAAATTGAAATGGAAACATAAGATTTGCAAAGGAAACAAAAAAGTTATAGATAACTGTAGTAAGTTGATGAATACCAGGTTTGTAGTAGTAAATTGAGAACATTTGCTTTATTCAATTAATTGATAATGAACAATCAGATTTATTCTGAACATTATTTAAAGCTCATCATCTTGCAACACATCACAGGAGTAATTTGAAAATCTTTGACAGTGGAGTTTGGATGACATACTGTAGAGAGTAGACGCAAGTAATGGTAGGATGGAATTTGATAGATACAAGTTGTATTTAGATTTGGTTTAAAGAATGAGATTAGGCCAGGTACTTATAAACTCGACGATCATTTTCCAATCGAGCAAGAAATTCTCGTTCAATAAGCGATTCAATACGTTGTTTAATCATCAGGGGGGTAGGTACAAAGCGTGATTTTAATTGTTCAATAACTTCAACAACAAGTTGTCCATGACTTAAACTTTTACGAGCTTTCATGACTCTCACAATTGTGGCCTCAATCACATAACGTCGATTTTCGTCTACTTTTGTCCGCGTTTCCTGACGTTCTGGTTCGCTTTCTTTAACGGTGATACTTTGAACCTAAAGAAAAAAATATGGGAAAGGTCGATAACAGCTTAAATGAGTACATAGTTAAACGAGTCAATAGCTAACTATCCAGAAAATACATTAGTATATTTAGTGCGAGTTGCTTTATCCTTAACTGTGATAGGTTGGAGGCAGCAGTAAATTAAACTTGTTAGAAGTTTCAATCATGGTCACGAGGAGTAAAGAAATTGGAACATATTAAATCATTATGAGCGATCACCTACGGTTATTAATATTTAGTCTGAATGGACTAATCCGAAAATAATAGTTATATGGCTAGATTGCCTAATTTTAAATCCAGTGAGAGGAAAAGAATGGGTGAAACACTTTCGGGTTCATGTAGCTTAAAATTAATTATTTAGGTTTTAGAAAATTCGATATGTTAGGAGTTCGCACATAAACTTAGCTGAAATCGATGAACAGAGATGAGAGTATTCTAATTTGAAAAAAAAAAACTAGAAAATAGAAGAAAACACGATGTATAGCGGATCCAAAACTGAAAGCGGAGAAGGTAAATGAGTAGAAAAAGAGCATTATGTGAGGGTTATGAACACTAATCTAGGGCAATCTATTACTTTGATCTGCATGTCAAAATACAGTAGATTTTTTACAATTTAATACCTTATTCTGCTATGTTTGAAGCGATTACCAGTTCACGTGGTATGAGAACAGAACAAAGACACCGTGACCAAAAACCAATAAGCCAGCTATTCTGATGCGTCCCACCCACCCCCTAACAAGATAGAGAAGTCCAAGCTCGAAACGGAGAAATATATTCCGCAAGCAGCCAGAAGCACTAGTAATAACAACAGGCAAATATCAAACGTATATATACAGCATAACATTGTCCTTGAGAAGCGTTACAAAATAGCATACTAAAAGATACAACGAACCAATAGCGTTTAAGATTCTCCTAAGTGGGAAATACGACATAAATGTGAAAACGAGCGCTTTTGGCGCGAAGGTAAAAAATTCAAATTTTTAAAATAAAATAACAAAAATAAGGTATTTACCAAGTGAGTTCTGTGGATCTAATGTCTCCAACAAATTCAAAAATGAATTCACCGTGAACAAAACAGCTCAGAAACACTATTTTAAACTAAATTGTCAGACCAAGTGGTTTTGTAGTGAAGGAGAACACAGGTGAGGACAACCGAATTATACTGAGCACAAAATTACAGTTACTTGGTAAAATAAAAAAAAACTGTACTCTAATACTAAATTTGCAAATTGTTTATTAATTGTCTCAGACTTCATTGTTCCTGCATTTCCATACCAAGTGCTTTTTATTCCGGTTCTTCCCTTCTTGATCTTCTCAATCTTCTGCTGCCAGACATTATATTCCTGACTCACGTTATACACTGCTAATGTCAGTATAAGTAGCACACACCATAGTTTTATGTTCCAAAGATGTTCTTTTATAATCATATCCAATCATAAACTTAGAAATTGTCGTCACCTGAAATAAACACTAATGCTCTAAAGTCTAAACATCTAAGAAGTACAATGTCATCTTAATATGCATATGATACCTAATATTGGTTCATTGAGGGTAGTCAAAAAGAAGTCCTAAATTCAAATTTTGTGCCCTTTTACGATCAATCAATAATTAAATACATTTGTGATAAATTGGAAATGCAGGAATATTATTTAATGACAATATTGGAGTACTGTTTTGTGGTAACAGATTACTAAAATAAACCATTTCGGTTGAGAATAATCACATAACAAATGTGTACAAATATCATGAAACTATGTATCACAACAAATAAATCTAACGTAAGAAACCACAACACACCAGTAATTATTGAATTAGTAAAAATCAAAACAAACCATACAAATTCTCTCTCTCTGTATATATATATATAGTTTAGACATACCCGAACTTTAATATGTTTCGAAATAAATGAATCATTGACATAGAATATATCAGTTGACTCTATATCACGAGTTTTCGGTTCTTTGCATAAAATTCGTTGACTACAGCGACCTAATGCTAAAGCCATAAGACTACGTTTTAATTCACGTTCAGGAATATTTGTTTCACTGGCTAATTCAATAAAACTATAACGATTTCGTCGATTGAATTTCATTAATATAATCATTTGATAAGTGGAAACCTGAAAATTGAGAATAAGAAGTATATTATAAGAATTATACATTAATAAACTCATGTAAATATAAATATAACACTTACAAGAATTACGCACAGTAGTATTATGATGATTTCTGTGATTGCTCATATATATGTCGGTCTTGTACGTTTTTAATACCACGACACTATGTCATACACTGACCACCTTTCAGCTTTTCCCAATCAGTCTTGACTCTGGGAAATAATGCACGATGTGGAATTCACTAGGACGACATTAGTGGTACATGCCTAAGCCACCGAAGCCTGCGTTCCATGATAATGACACTAACTGAATTATCATGGCTGTGCTCTAACATAAATTGCAAAATCTTTGTATTACTACTATGGTGTTGCCACTGAATATCAGTAGTCCTTTCGAGACAACGATGAGCAAATACAGAGTTGGTATATAAGATCATTAATTATTCTATGTGGGCAAGATGATTAATTTCAACATAATTCAAATAATTTTTTACTGAACAGAAGATATAAAAAAACTAGTTGATTACTATTGCAGAATATAATGAAGGCTATAAGCGATACAGTGACTTCTTTTGCGTTTTACACAGTGCTTTCAGGTACCACCAAGTCGATTTATTGGTAAATTTATCAATAAATCCTAACTAGATTAATTACAACCATCAGCTTACTATTATCAACTACGAAAAATACTGCAACTTACAATGGACCTAATGTCAACGACCAACTGCTTAACATGTAAGCTGACTCTCTTGAAACAGAATTACTGAAAGTAAGCTGAATAACTATGAGATTACCACCAAATGAGATGCTATCTCTTTTTATAAATAAAAAATTGATAGTTATCGACTCGGAATTATTTCTCAAGTGTGAATAACACTGTAATTTACCATGTTGTGACATAAACTATAATACAGTTATTTTTGACCATTTGGGACAAAAACCTACAAATTCACTGTTAATTTACCATGAAACGACTGATTTTAATATTAATTAAATGCGGAAATGAAGATTATACGACAAAAAATGGGCTACTAGTTACAGGAAGCTGATTACACAATCAACCTGTACGGGACATATGAATGACTTAATAGAATCAAAACGAATATGTACAATTAGTTAGGTTTGGACGATGGCTTTTACTGTGTCGTACAGTTGTTTTTGTTCCACTGGTTTATACTTATCTCGTAAGTTACTTCAACTTAAGCTTAACAAGTCTGAAAATATAGACTGAGAAACACGACAACAGCATAATAAGTGATAATACCACTATTTCCAACGATGGACAACCAAATGTTAATGGAAAACGATGCTAATGGTATTTTTATGAAGGTATAATAAGAAACAGATCATAGTAACGATAAAAATTCATGTCAGGAGGTTGAGGTTTGTAAGGGAACTATTACAAACCAAGGAACACCAGACAGCTTTTTTGTCCCAGTTCGGGACTGCGCAGAACCGTGTACCTACAACTTCGCGTAATAGAAGTTAGGAACCTTAAGTTTTGTGGTGAGTGTGTTAAAGAGTTAGGATTTATTGGTTCACATTTCTAAAATCGGTCGACTTATTATACAGCAATAAAGTTATCCAACAACTCCAAAATAAACGTGTAAGTACAGGGATATTGAGAAACTATTTTAATGACAAAGATGATGAAGTCAACTAAAGGAAACCATTAAGTTCATAAAAGATGTGTATATCAAGTTGTTTCTTTCATGTGATTATTAATTTTATAATTCTAAATACGACAGCAATTCCCTTTACGTAAATACACATAACGAAAACTCGTATTCATAGTTATATGATGAAAAGACGTTTCTCAACAAAATATATGAATTTTAGTTAACAAAGTATTATAAATTTTCATTTTTCAACTTATATCAAAAGTAAAAATATTCATCACAGAAATTCCAGATGTTAAAATACATAGTTTAAGGAATGTAACAGAAACAATAAAACATTACTAACCGTTGTATTTATATAATACAACGAAATAGTATAGTTCTTTTTACGATTCCAAATTACATGAACAGGAAGACAAACAACTGAATGCAAGTGCTACATATAAGCCTTATCTCATGTAATTTTTCATTTATCCCACTTGGGAAATCAACAATAAAGATTTAGCTCGAAAGCAAATCCACATAGTTTTATTTCCTGGTGACAAATAGTAAAATTTTCAATGACATGCAGAAAAAACATTTAGAAAACAATGAGCTGGATTTGAACTTCGTATTTTTTTGTCAGTCTGATGAAGAATTACGAAATATGATGTAAATGTACTGGATGAAGTCCAATTACAAGTCTGGACCAGAAAAATCGATACTGTTATTCATTTTACTACTCTGTGATATATCATGATAAATTTATGTCGCTGTACTGATATGGTGTAGCGAGTTGAACTAATGGAAATATGCGCCATGTTTAAGTTGACTGAGAACTAACTAAAAATGTGGAAATGATCCAATGAACTTTGACATACACAGTAGTAGAATACTGTTTTCCTCAGTACAAGAGGGTGTCCCATGGTCTAATAACTGAACAGATACATGCATAATTATTTTAACAATTTAAAATACTTTTTCCAAGCTTTTAAGAACTTTAACAATAAAACACACATACAATGTGATCAGAATATCTGTAATTATGACAATGTTCAACCAGTGTTAAAGTATAGCAAGTATGGAGAATCCAAACGAATTTCGACTTATGAAGTTAAATAAGAATCGATCAATCAGCCCTACTCTACAAATTAGAGCAAAGTATCTCACATGAATATCGGAAAGCTTATTACAACTAAATTCACGTTTTTTCATGGAATAAATTAATATAAATAATTCACTTTTTCGATAGTGATGTTGCAGTAACGTGAGAACAAAGCTAACGGGATACAATGGACGTTTTTGTATGATGTGAAGGAAATGCTTTTATTTTTCATTAACAAAAATCCAGCATTTTTACATTCTCTCTCAATATTACCTATATGTAAGTATTAGCGAGGAAGATCAGAAGACAAATGAAACTTCTCAATTTCACTTTTAAGTGGTATCATGTGGTATAAACACATGGTATTAACTAATAGGAAAACTCGGATTAAATACAAACAGCGTTTTCGGAAAGCATTGCTGTTATCAGATTAGAAACAATAGAAGTAAAGGGGATAAAGTGGATTCTAGAAACATATGAAATAAGAATTATGACAATGGGAGCAAGGTAATAAAATGTTTAAATGTAAGTTCTGTGGTTGAATATTTATCCGAAAAGAGCAACATGAATATTATCTATTAATAGCCGGGTGATTCAATAACAACTGATTTATTACTCGGTAGACAGTTGGTACTTAGATGTTATTCGATTTGACTTATCATAATCAAAATATTTTTAGGTATTTAAAGGAATCTTGCTATCGGACAGTGTGTAATATGATATAGAATAAGCAGTATTCATTGGTACTGACTATTTTTGGTTATCCATTTTTATGATACAGTTATTATTAAAATATATTTAAAGAATGATTTTCAAATGAAGGATATCATTCATATTATTGTCCATGAAGTCTCAAGCATTATTCTAATGTTGAAGTTTTGCAATAACACTTTGAATCATGGTTGACGTCATTAGGTCGACCCTAGACATCTTAATGAGCAGGAAAATAAATACTGGGAGTTAAAGAAGATTGTCGCTCAAAAATGTATACACCCTGAATTCCATTATTTTTGGTTTCAAAAACCAATTAATTTCAAGTGCTAATTGAACTAATACGATGAGTTATATGGCGAGACTATAATTTATGGACGAATCAATCAGATTTAGGATAACAGATCTTGGGTTTTGGTGCGAAATTCAATCAACCATTTGGACAAATAGCGTTTTGGCATTTTAGCTGATGTCAGTTCACGATGAAAACCCTAAATCTAATTCCTAATCCTAACCATCCACTGTAAATCATAATCCTTATTTTTTTTAAACTGCTATATAACCCTTATTTGATCCTAGTTAGTGGGTGGATATGCTCAAGGTCACTCTAGTACCGCTCAAAGATCTTCCATAAATTATAGTCTCAACGGTTAGTCTCATTAAAAAGACTAGAGAGTTAGACTTAATGTTTATTTGTATGGGACACACTATGACGCTACTAATTAAAGTTAGTTGATCAAATAAAAATGTGGATTTAAAACGATTGAAATAGCTAGCTAACCATAAATCTACCAAGTTCCAACGACACCAAAATGCATACACTTAAAACCGCTACAGTGAAAGCCTATGTCCAAAGGGTAAATAATTACATTGGTTTGGTCAGTATTTAATTTAAATGTAGAAGTTTTATGACGGTTTTATTAGTTAGTTACATATTTGTGAAATTTCTTGAAGACATGGGAAGATATTTACCTGCAAGAAATATTTCCGCACATTCGATCGACTTGAGGTACTAATTGAGTTGGAAGGATCAAGTGTCTTTTGAGCTCCTGGGCTTCCTGGCAATCCACTGATTGGCGCCTGTTGAGTACTTTGATTTCTCACTTGATTCGAAGATGAAGAACTAGAGTCATGAATAAGGAAACCGTGAGTATGAGAATCAGTAACAGAAGAGATTTGAGGTGCATTGATATCTGCATTAGGACGACCATAAAATACAGCAGACAATTCTGCGTACCCCATGTTTTTCTGCAGGTTTATTTTCCGACCGTTATGTTTGCTTAAATAGAAGCTGAATAACAAAATCAAAAACAAAAATATTGTTACAACGATTTAAAATCTAGGAGCTGAGTATAATTTAATTGAACTGAGAGATCATTGACTGACCTAGTTTATAAAAATTGAAAATTCTGTTGTGATAACCATACAGAGAATGAATAATACGATTTCTGGAATATACATTTCCATATCTAGCTGATGGTCTACACGATCTCGAAATCAGTAAAGCCGAGAACATTAAACAGATTTTAAACCTAGCCAAGGATGTACTTCTCTTCAGGTTTCGAAACACGAGTATACTTAACCAAGACCATACTGTGACCATATTCCTTAAACTATAATTGGGATTTGTAACGGTTTCACTGGGATACTGTTATTTAAATCAGAGCTTGTGGAATTCGGTACGTCACGTGGTGTTCACCAGTGGTATCCAGCAGCCGCTTTATTTGATTATATCAGTTGTCTGCAAAAGACTCTATTATTCAACTATTCAGAAACTCAATACCACGCAGAGACATTTTTATTGACTTATATTATGAAGATGTTGACAAAACATAGCCTTTTGAATATTTTCAGAAACGATGACAGAATGTAGTCTGAAGTCGAAGAGCTAATAATATCAAAAAACTGGTAGTAATTGCGCAAATTCCTTTATTCTTTGCCTCCTCATAGATCTTGAGACTCACTGTCATTTCATATGTTTCTTTTCTTGTTACGCCAAAGAGTGATACGGCAACGTAAACTGCTAAAAATTCGTGGAAGCTTCCAAACTGTCCATAATTTATATGATTTGTTTTTATTTTATTTGAACACATAAATATTGGTACAATAGAGCGCCAATATATATGCGCCACACAAAACAATGGGAATTCGAAGAGAAGTAGAAAGAAGAAAAAAAAAACTAAGGAACGCAAAAGAAAAAGAGAACAATGACGAAGAGATTGGAGTAAGGTAGTGTGGTAGTAACGACGGAACGAAAAGGTACAATCAGAAGAAATCTTTCAGGTAAAGGAGACACAACCACTTTTTATGAAGAAAGTAAAAGAAGGTTACAGCAGGATCGCCACTGGCTTCTATTCTGAGCCATATCTGATAACGTCTCTAGCCACTGTGTAGCACCATCTCTCGGACCCCAGCCAGGGAGTCGTGAAGGACCAACACAAGCCAGTCCTTTGCAGCTTTCTTTCATGCCACGACACCATGTCATGCACTGACCACCTCTCCGCTTCTTCCAACCAGTCCCAGAGTCGGCAAATAATGCACGACGTGGAATTCTCTGGGACGACATTCGGAGAACATGTCCAAGCCACCGAAGTCGGTGTTTCAAGATGGTGACACCAATTGAGTTATCATCTCTGTGCCCGAACACACGATGCCGAACCTCTGCATTACTGACATGGTGTTGCCACTGAATGTCAGCAATCCTTCGGAGACAGCGATGATCGAACACAGAGAGTCGTCTAACGTCCTCAACTCGGAGAGGCCAGGTTTCACAAGCATAGAGCAAAACTGCTCTCACCGACGCGTTGTAGATCCGACCTTTTACAGCCAGACTAACATCACGAAGGCGCCAAAGGTGACCCAGATTGGCATAAGCCGCTCTGGCTTTCACTATTCGTGCATTGGTCTCATCACTCACATCACTACCAGCACTTATGCAGCTACCCAGATACACGAACTTCTCGACTACTTCTATCTGCTCACCATCCAGGGTGAGTACAGGATTAGAATCCTGCCAGTCTTGTAGAAGTACTTTGCACTTCGAAGGTGCAAAGCACATACCATACCTACGGACACTGATTGCCAACTGATTAAGTGCGGATTGCATGCCTTGGGCATTATCGCACAGTAAGACAATATCGTCCGCATACTCAAGGTCTAGAAGGCTACGGCGACCACCGAGATCTACACCACCATTACTTACATTCATCAGAGCTGTTTCCAGAATGTCATCGATGGCAAAGTTGAAGAGGAATGGTGAGATTGGGCAACCCTGCCTAACCCCACTGCTCGAATGGAACAATGGAGAGAGGTGGTTGTATGCCCTCACTCTGCCTGAGGTGTTTTTATACAGGGCTTTTAGGATGTTAATAAACTTCTCAGGCACACCCTTCTTCAATAGACAATCCCAGAGAACAGTCCTATCCAACGAATCGAAGGCAGCCCTGATGTCAAGAAACACTACGATTGTTGGCCTTTGAAAAGTATGGCGGTGTTCTAACATTTGGCGGAGGGTGAAGATATGATCAATACATCCTCGACCAGAACGAAACCCAGCCTGCTCCTCGCGAGTCAATCTTTCTCGGGTTTTGAACAACCTACGAAGAATGACGGAAGCCAATAGCTTGGACGCAATCGGAAGTAAACTTATCCCCCGATAGTTGTTACAAGAACGACGTGAACCCTTTTTAAAGATAGGGACAACTATCGACTCATTCCATGACGTTGGTACACTCTCTAGTTCCCAAACCTTTGTAAACAACGTCGTCAATTCCTTAGTCAAAAAGTCACCACCATCTTTAAAAAGAGCCGGAGGTAAGTCATCTGGGCCAGGTGATTTGTAACGCTTCAAGAGTTGGAGTTCCTTGCGGACTTCCTCCTCATTTGGTGGATCAGTCGTCACCGGCCATGGAGGGCAGGACAGTCTGACCGATGTTGCCGGAGCAGCAGGCCAGTTGAACTGCCCTTCGAAAAATTCTGCCCATCGTCCAAGACGTCGATGGATGTTAGTGATTGGCATCCCATCATCCTCGCAGATTGTTTCACTCACACCAGACTTCTTGCTGCCAGTGGCTCGGATGAGCTAGAAGAGCTTCCGGCAGTTACCAGATGCAGCTGCTGCTTCCAGCTCATTAGCACGCATCGACCACCAGGCTTCTCGGTCCTTACGCAAGCTTTGCCCAATTTCCTTACGTAACATCCTTCGTTTATGGTCAAACTCACGGTCACCCGGAGTAGACCGACGGGCTTCAATGAGTTGTAAGGAACCAGAAGAAACCCAGTGCTTAAAAGCGGGACGTTTCGCAAACCCACAACTGACTGTTCCCGCCATTTTCATGGCGTCATGCAATTGCAACCAATGCTCATCTATACTTTTCGGTGGAGTGGTAGCTAGCCTAGAGGCTAGCTCGGTTCGATACTTACTTGCAACAGAAGTTGCAACCAGCTTGCTAACATCAATCCGTTGATGGCGTTCACTTCGTTGTCCACTGAAAAGTAAGGCAAGATTGGCGCAGACCAAGGCATGGTCAGAGTCCAGATAGGTACTCCAAAAGGAGCGGCAGTCTTGTACACAACCACGCCAGCGGTAGCTGATCGCGATGTGATCAATCTGAGTCCAGGCTTGAGATGCAGAGGGAGGACGCCAGGTGGCACATCGGCGATGACTGTGCCGAAAGTTAGTGCTAGCCAGAAACAGGTTGTGGTCTGTGCAAAGTTGCAGTAGACGGTCCCCGTTATCTGACCTGCGACCAACGAGTCCCCATCGGCCACCTAAACGACTCTCTTCTGTGCCTAGACGCCCGACCTGAGCATTCAAGTCTCCGGCTAGTACTACAATATCTGTCGAACGCACTTTCTGGAGAAGAACTGATAACTGGTGGTAAAACTCATCCTTGATTGCATCCGGGCTGCAATCTGTCGGGGCATAGGCGGAGATGACGAAAAGACATCGTTTCTCACGCCGATTTCTTCTCACTTTGATGGAACTTTCTAATCTAACAGCACATAACCGACTGTTAATGGGGATCCAATCGACTAGTGCTGCCTCAGCTCTAGCGCTTAGTGCGACACCAACGCCAGCAAGACCAGACGAAGATGCCACAGGGTCCCCGGATAAGCGCACGTAAAACAAGCTTTTCGAAGCGACAGATGGAGATCGAATTTGTAGTACTTCGCCAGAGTCTTGAGTACGGGTCTCGGATAGACAACACACGTCGATATTAAGACTTTCCAAAGACATAGCCAGCCCTATCTGTTGTCCGACCTGCATAAATGTGCGAACGTTGAAGGCAGCCAGTTTGAATGGTGCACGTGGTTTCAGAAAATCTGCTTCAGTCCTCGTATTCGGTGGTAACATACAATTTTCAACCGGACAGTGACTCGAGAACGTTTAGATACAGTCGGATTTCCACCAAAGACGAGCCGCTGTATAAGTATAAAAGAGGGTGAATAATGTGGAAAATAATAATAATAATGATAATAATAACAATAATGACAATAATAGTAGTAATAATAATATTAGTATTAATAATGACAATAATTGTAATGATAATAATCTGAATCAATTGTTTGTTTTTCAAAGCGAGAAAGGTAATTTCCATAGGCATAAAGAGTTCATCATTTGTGTGTGGGCTGTGATACTGCCCGGGTGCCCAAACCGAAGCAGGTGGTTATCTTAGGGGGCCACTCCCCGAGCCTTTGACCTAAAGGTCTAACCCACAAGGCAGTGGAGCATCGTAAGGAGATGCAGTCCCATGGTAGCCGGTGACCAACGATTGGTTCATACGCCATTCGTTCCCGCAGGATACTGGAGCCCATGTGCACCATTGATTTGGAATCCGGTTAAAGCGCCGGACATTCGCTTTTCGTCCTCTCATTTTCGTAAACAACACCCCCGCCACGAGAAGGCAATGAGTAGGACTTCCCTGGCAGAGGCTGTATACGCGTGGCCGTGTGAGAGTATTTCGAGAGGGAGAGCGGACTCTCCCCACTCTCGGCCGTACCAGGGCATTCAGGGGGGCATATATGATTGTACGGTTCAAAATTAGACCTGAACTATTATTTTTAGCGGTTAATGAAAAGAAATACTGACAATTATGGGATGTTTTCATAGTAATCACTTAAAAATCTAAAAAAGAAACGGTGCACAAGAAACCAGAAAATTGAAGTTGCACGAGACACATACAAAAGGTTATTAGTTGGTACATATGTAATCTGGTAAGCGACTAGTTTGAGGACTTTTCAGATTTATTATTTGATGCTTTATTAAGCACAAAAATTTTAATCACCAAAACAAAATATTATATGCAAACCAAAGTACCAATATTACTAAAGCTACTCAAAATACCGTTTCGCTGATAAAACGAAACTCAATGTTATAAACATTCAGCATACCAATTGTGACTCATTTATAGAAAGGTGGTTTATGTTTAAAACTTAGTTGTACATTCTGAATCAAATACGGTCATAATAACAGTCAATGTCTATTACGAAAACCACATGTGTACAAAATAACTTACTTTTTATAAATTTCAAACGCTGTGTCAGCTTCTTCTGGTAACGCTTCATTAGAATTAGTTACTTGAGTTGGCCAAAGACCAGTAGTTAGTACACGAACGCACAGATCTAGGTTAAGATTGTGGTTACCTTTAGATAGTACCACATTGAATTCATCCATGAGGGTATTAGACACCGCCATATCTTTAAACATTCCTTCTAGTTTACTTGTGTATACAGCACCACATTCAGCCATAAGTTTGGATATCATAATCTTTTCTTGATCATCTGATTGACTTTTACTTAATAACAACCTTTTTGCTAGATGCTTTTTGTAATAACCTTCAAATAGATCCTTTTCTTGTAAGTATCGGAATAACACAATGCACTTATCGAAAATAGCGTCTACATCTTGGTCTGTCATACCTTTGGTGCCACGTTTTAGTTTCTCATCGATAAATAATGATAGAAATTCGGGATAACGAGGATTTAAATTGACAAAGTACTCAAAATCAGAATTAATTTGATTGCGGAATATTGTCTGATTATTAAGCGCTCGCGTTAGTAATTCATTAGCGCGATCACGTAACTGAAGCAAATCTTGAATGTGCTGTTGAGGTGTTGATGACCCAGTATCACGTACAGTATTTCGTCCTTGCTCTCTCAAGTACAAGCTAATGTAGTTACTCATTATTTTCGGTCCTTCTTCAACCCTACTTAAAACACCATACATAGCAGCGATATCAGTGAAGTGATCATGAGTTAACATGTAAGTTAAACCTGAATCTTCCATACCGACAATAGTTTCCATATGTCGACTTATAAGCTCCTCTTCCAATACGATGACGATTTTGGGCTCCGTGGATGGATCAAGATGATGATGTGCTCTTCGAACTTCCTCTTCAATTCTTTGTTCGACCTTTTTAATATACAAGGAAGCAGAAGTATTCTCAGCAAGAAAATTTTCACTTTCTGTGCGGTAAAATTCTCTTGACTGCTCCAAAAATGGCTGTTCAAAATCTTCGAGGTAAACACATAATGATCCGGCTCCTAAATGCACAAACATCTGACAGGCATCACGAATCTGAGAACGTGATATTACTTCACCCCGACGTTCCTTGCGCACCATATCTAACAGAGTTTTCTGCAAATGCTCTCTAATAATTGGATAACGTATGACAAGATCGCAGAAAACAGTCATCCCCATTTTATAAACTCCATCCAGGTTGTGGGGGCCGACGTAGACACGATCCATGTACATGAGAATATCACGAATCATTCCCATAGCAGTTTGGTGATCTTTCCAACATGAGTTAAGGTAAGTTAAAAACTTATTATTTAGATTTTCAACAAGATTATCGCGGATCTTGATCATATGTTCACGTACAACAGCCTCTGTTCCCGCATACAGACGCTCACCGTGTTTTTGTAATATCAAAGTGTACGCATTGCGATAGAGTTCTTCAAAGCTCAAACAACTGTTATTTTTCTTTTGAATCTCGATTATCGCACTTTTAATCTGATCCCATAACTGATTGGCATATCTCTCATCTATTGAAGGAGGAAAAGCTTTGATTCGTACTTTGCCATTTGTCACTTCAGTTCGACGAGCACTGCTGCCTGAAGACATATCAGGTTTCTAAGACAAAAAATACACTGAAGAATAACCGCTTGAATTTAGTCATGATGTATATCGGATACAATAATGAGTTTGTTTTTATGGACTCAGTAAGTAACCAGAATATCTTCAAACTCACTACTGATAACGGTTAAATAACGCGCAAATATAGAGGTTTGTACATGAAGAGACCATATCATAAATTAGGCCATTTAATGCCTCTAGTCATAGTGAAATAAGTGCAGTGGAGAATGCAAGAAATTCCACAAGAATGGATAATTGACCACTACTTAAATGTTTTGAGGCAACGTCAATAAAAAGTTACTTCTTGAATGTTAGTAATATGAAATCGGACAACCAACAATCGATCTACATGACTGAAGACCAACTTTTTACTAAATTTTGTTTTGATATAGAACCTCAGCAAGAAGATCACGATATGATAGATTTTAAGTCTCGCTCTCGTATTTTTGGAATAGATTTAGATGTAAAGGAAAGGTTTTTTCGCAAACTTTCTGGACATGTTGCACAAGACCAAGTTTTAGGTGAACTCATTATCCGGGTACTTGTGTGTAATACACACTCTGCATGAGGAATAATGATACCAATCACTTTCCCAAACTGAGAAAGGTGAGGGGTGTTTGAACCCGGGACAGAGTGAACGCCTTAACCAATAAGTAACCGCTCCACAAAGTCTACAGCTGGAGCTTTGAAAAATACGTAATTCAAATCTTAAACGGCAGTATTTGGTACTGGGACTAAACTGCGACTGAAGTAACTATGATTAACTACAGATCAAACGAATTTACATGGAATGATTCATTTAAATTATGTTAGACTTTTAGTCAGTAAGTTTAAGCACAACTCTATCTATTTTGCTGTGGCTAACCTGATAATATCACTAATCCTCGCATAAGGTGGCTCAAAGCTGAGTACATAAATCTGTAACTCGTAAATTAGTTACGTCACTGTACCTCAATAAAATTGTAACAGCTTAGGAGATACCTTTGATCAGAATAGAACCAGAACAATTAAACGTCTGGCAAAAATACATTAGAAACAAATAGTACCTGGTGTCTTTTGAGAGTAAACTGAATGTACTTAGGTTTTTAAACCATAACGAAATCTGCATGAAGTCCACACAGACGGATAAAGTTATCACAGAAATGTGCTTTTACGGGTTAGAACAAGATATTACCCAGAAATCAAACGTCATACACAAAAACCTGTGCCTGAGTTGTGGAATGTACTCAAGATATATACACCATATTTAGTGATACGGTGTTAAGTCATTACATTCTGGGAAGATGACGATACAGAATATAGGTACACAACTGACATGAATGGAGGCATTATAATTGATAACTTTGACTGATGAACACTACACGGGGAGGGGGGTGAAAGTAGGTTTTACAAAGAGCTACTGTATGGAGGTTAGGACCACAGGCTGATTATGTGCTACTTAGTTTTCAGACGAAATTTCTCCGAATCACATCTATCAACAGATTTGCTTTAATCCTTACACCTCTGGTATACATTAGGATGTAACTTATTGACCTGCAAATTTATCCGCCCAGATTTGAGCTTATACTTCTATAAGCTGGTCGTACCACATAGATACCCGTACCCAAGTAGTAGTAGAGTCAGAATTCGGACAATATTCGGGTGGTCAAAACACCAAGTATAAATAATTAGTGGACTGATTCCTACTCTCTGATAAAACAACGTGAACATAGTGAGAATACCGGCGAGACTAATTTAGCGACGACCTTTGAACGAATACTAAATGACCTTGACAATTATTAGCCAATCAGAAGACAATATAAAGTGAGAATATATTGTAAGTAATGAATTACAGTGGATAATCATCTTTTACATGATTTAAAATTTGTTACGGTTTGATAAAGGTTCAGAGGCTCTGAATTCATAATGCATATTATATAGAAACTCGTCCATAGGGTTAGTGGTTAGGGTTGTAGCCTGTAAGTAGAAACATCTTCTCTAAAATCCGATGTAAACCGACCGCATGTTAGCACCCTAATCTAACCTAACCCTAACCCTAAACCCTAATCTAACCCTAACCTTAACCTAACCCTTAACCCTAATTTTAACCCCAAACCCTAACCCTATGGACGAGTTTCTATACAATATGCATTATGAATTCAGAACTTCTGAGCCTTTATCAAACCTCAACAAGTTTTTAAATCATGTAAAAGAAGAATATCCACTGCAATTCATTACTTTCTTGTTATATATTTTTACTTTATACTGTCTTCTGATTGGCTAATAATTGAAATCGCTCAAACGCTTCTCATTGGCTCGTCCCTAAATTAAAGTTTCGCCGTCCCATCTGTTTTAACCTCTCATTAATCACCTCCTCTCTAAAATCCGCCGTGAACCGACCGTGTGTTAGCATCGCGTGTTGAACTTGGCTCCGTGACCTTGAAATTGCTCAAACGCTTCTGATTAGCTCATCGCTAGATTAGTCTCGCCAGAATACCTATCAGGAGAGAAGTGAGTCGCAAAGGAGCCTGACTGTCCGTCTAATGATTATCGTCCGTCGATTATAGACCACCATAATTAGCATTTTTACTACATTACATACAAAAGGTGTTCATTTAGAGTATATAGCAGAAGTGAAGGAACGCTATGCTTACCAGCATTCTAATGCGTGAGTTTAGTAAGCCGTAGTGTAGTCCAAATTCAAGACAACTACTCGCACCTCTTCCAGGTAAAGATGAGATGAACCTGGTATGATATATACCCAATCTCACTACATCGATGTCTACCAAAAGTCGTAGGAAATATGGTAGTTTTCCCCAGTGTTATATGATTCTCTGGAAATATTTGGGAAAACCCAGACAATTCGGGGATTTCCCTCACACCTGGGAAAATCTTGGGTGTTTAGGGCCATTTCCTCAAAATTCAGCCAGACCGGACAAAACTTTCTCTAAAATGGGGAGATTAGGTAGTTTATACAGCACCCGCCCGAGAAGCCAAGCATGTGAGCGCTGTTTACAGGCTATGCTGGGAACTATGATCATACTTACATAGTAGAAACTAGCTGCTAATTCTTTATTCAAAATTGAAAATAGGTTCGACATATATTCCAATATGAGCCTCTTGTAGATCTTCAAAGAATAAAATAAGGTTACATAGAGACTTTTTTAATTAACATGAGTCAATGATTCAGGAAACATTATTATGTATGACCTGAAATATATATCAAATACCACACAAACCGAATTAGCAACACAGCAACGTCGCACACCATAAGCCGCGCCCCGGGTAAGGGTCTAAACAAATAATCTTTTCAGTCTTCAGTAACAATGAGAGAAGGTCTACCGACCTATATTAATCCTTGCAGTTTGTAACACTGAAGAGGTCCAATCTCGTTTTGAATATATCAACGGGAGTTGCTGATATTTCGTGCTGCCGTAGAGAATTCCAGTTCAAATTGTAGCGGTAAATAAATCCCCAAAATAAATAGCTCTTTAAGTTTTCGACATTGGATGCTGACCATATGTTTCAGTGGACTCATCTAGCTGAAGGCGCTCGGTCAGGCATCCGCACCAGATCACGTGTGGTAACGCCGTGCTCAACATCAACC